AATTGAAAGATCAGAGAACTGATATTTGTCACGCTCACTCAAGCAGTTACATTCCTCATCCCAATGGCAGCAATACCTGGAGCATGAAGAAAACTTTAGGAGCTCCTTGAGATAATTGAGAATGAGCATTCTAATTTACCATAACGGGACAGACCGGGGGAAACTTTGGATTCCACCTTGAAAAGGATGGCACCCTGCCCTAATGCTTCTGGAATGGAACAGAGAACTCTGGTAAGGCGGAGAGGGACATGCTGTGCCATGACTTCCTGCATGACGTGGTGGCTTTTCGATCGAAGCTCGAGCCGGTACTATGGAAGGTGTCAACATGCTGATACAGGTGCCTCTCTTGCAGACTTGCAAGCGAGCCTTGGCCCGGTGGACGGTTTGGACATGAGCGAGCAGCTCTTTGCAACAACCTCTCGGGCTTTCAAAGAGCACGGGCTCGTCCACAACGACATAGTTCCTAGGAACATATGCTTAAGTCTACACTTTGATCGACTGGGGTGCTGTGGGCGCTTTAAGTGACGCTGTTGACAAGGATTGGCCTGGAGCTCTAGCCACTTGTTCACGCTGTGTGCGGATATGTAGCTTTCTTCCGCTTGTCACCTCGCAATCTGGTTCCAGACTGTTCTTCTACTGGGCTGCTATGGTCGGGGTTTTGGAGAAGAGCGGCCACGTCTCATCCTTCAGTCGAGGCAGGACATGGAGAAGGGAGGACCCCTTGTTCATGAAGAGCAATTTCATCTTCTCTGGTTTGGTCAGCTGCATTCTTGAAGAGAAGTTAAGAGGCGTTGCTGTGGACCGCGAGTGCAAGTGGAACATGAACCCGGTTATGAGATCATCTTCGGCTCCTGTACCTTCTGTATCGTGAAATGGTTGACAATAAGCCGCAGCTATTGGGTGAGCTTAGAATATACGAAGGGTAGCGGATTTGGAAAATTCATGGAGAGCTCAGGAGAAATGGAGCAAACAGAGAAAAGCAACAGATAATGTCTTCATTAACCTCGATCCATCACTAGAGAATCGGCTAGCAGTTTCGCATCAGTCTCCAATCCTTGCCCGGTTGCGGTGGTGCCTCCATGCAGAAATAAAAGATTAGCTAAGTAGGTGGCTGCTGATCTTCTCCCTCAGTCGACTAAGTGACTTGCCGCATTCAACCGCGGCCTTCTTGCATATGGCAGTCTCTCCTGCTGGCCACACTCCTGTTAATATGGAGAACAAGATTCAGACCTACAGGCTGTATCCTGTAGATTTCTCGCCTCTGCATGCACGACACCTGTCCGCGCCCGCGTAATGTCATGTTCTTGCCCCACCTCCTCTTGTTCATGTTCTTGTGCCAATCCAGTAAGATGGCGCGCTCATTCTCCGAACATGATTCCGGGTCTTCACCGTGATTTGCGTCTCCAAGGTCCAAGCGGCTTTGTCCAACAATCTCTGGCTTGGTGCTTTTTTCTGATTTTCTTGATCTGGGTGGTTCGATATTCTTGTTAAAGACCAAGTGCTGAGCTCCCACATGATAAACTCCCAGCGAGAAGACGTCTGTAATCCGGGGGCGACTGTTTTTCTGCAATGGATTTGTGTGTGCCAGCATCTCGGGAGTCTTCCACCGGATCTGTTCCTTGCTCTGCGGCCGCTTGTCGCTGCGCTTCGATCCTTCCTTGGTTGAATCCAGAAATCTTGGGACGGAGCTCCTCGCTGACGACACCAACAGCATGAGCGTCATGGCAATCCTCTTTTGACAGCATACGACAGGTGAATCCCGGATCCAACGAATGACATGATTCTTTGAAAGCCGCTTGCGAATGGCCAGCCCTCTCTGAGTTATAGAGTAGCTCGAATTATGGGCTGTTTGAGACTTGCACATAGGATGTGAATAAACCTCGTAATCATCACGCTTCCCATATTTTGATATCACCTACTGCTGCTGGATCATAGATTGGATCATGGACCGATTTTCGAGTTTTGAGGCTTTCGGTCGATTTGCAGGCTGAAGTACTGGATGCAATTGCCCAGCCTCTCATCATGATAGATCATCCTTGATGCCTTGTAGATCTTGACGATATGCTTCCGAGAAGATAGACATAGCATCGTTAAACACCTGAAGAATGGTAAAATATTCTAGAATATCTCAGGAGCACAAACAGGATAAAATATATTTAGAATAGAGCATATTCAATATTGAACATTTGCGATACCAGCAACAAGTCGTCCTTGTCAATTGGAGAGACTCATGCTGCAAGACACTTGCCATGCTTGACCTAGCATCCCCTCCGTGGATGCTTGTCCAGGAGAAGAGGTCGTGGGCATGGCTTCAAACACCTGGGGCGTATGCCCACTTTGGGCATACGTGGACAGCATGAGCACCCAGGAGAAGAGATTCCTGGCCCAGGGCGCGATCCCATTGAACACGGCGCGAGCGCGGACGCTCCAGGCTCCCGCAGTTGGCATACATGTGAAGCAGCATGTTGGACTTTGCACGTCGGGAAACAATTGCTCACAAAAAGCACGTGAAATGAACATGGTCCAGGAGCAAGATTTGTATCTCGTTTGCTAACAGAAAAAGTAACCATGACCGAGGTCTCTTGGGAGCTCATCTCGTTGCTTTTGCAGCTCCTTGATCTCTTTGACGAGTTCTCTTGGAGCAGCTTCAGGCTCGCCTGATCACCTTGTGCATGACATCCCGAAAGTCAATGGACGAAGCATGGTGGCCGTCGTGATCGCCATCGAGCTCCTCGCTGTGCCTTCACAGCACACACTCGAGCACATGGGGCTGGCAGAGATACGAGGCGTTCCTCATCGCCTTGTCATACACACCCGAGCTGAGCGTGGAGCAATCCACGAAGCTCCACAGCTTGTGGATCTCGTCGCCACCGCTTGGCGATCATCTTCTCCACCGCCGAGTAGAGCATGTCGTGGTTCCCCCGCGATCCCGGAGGAAATGCCCGCTCCAGCGCCACAAAAGTCTCGCACGAGATCACGCCGCTCTCGGCGTATCCCCACAAGCACCCGTCAACCTCGCTCGCCACCGCCTCGATCTCGCCCTCCCCTTGCTCCACATCAACTTCTTTACGATCAATCTCTTCCTCCTCCTCCGGATTGTCGTCCAGGTCCTCTGTTCTACCAAAACATGTAGATTAGAACCCGAGACCTCAAAGGAGAAGAGCCTGTGCCTCAAACTGGGGGCAATATATTATTTAAAAGGAGTATGTGAGCACTGGCAATGAAGCTTCATGCTAAGCTTCAGCCTCAAGATTTACGAGTGCCACCACTTTGATTACAAGGTCTCCTAAGGGACCAGAAGTAGAAAAGGAGGGAAGCTGCACAACACAAGTGTTGCACGCATATTGGACAGACAGCTTATTGCTGCCAATGTAGGGACAATCAAAGTATATAGTGGCAACTTTGATCTCCTTGGCATAGAGGTCAAACGTACCTTCAGTCCCAGATGGAGAGTTTTCTCTTCCACATGCAGCAAATGGTGGGGTGGGAGAGGTTGCTCCTGATGCAATCGTTACCCCACCCGGAGAGCTACCATCAATGCCCTTATTTGGGTACTTGTACCATTTCCCCCATGGTAAGACGGAGTTTCTCACTACTAAGGTGTCTGGTCCCAGGTTTGTTATCTTGAAAGATACCCACTGAGGATATCCTCTCAATCCATCTGCATTACACTAAATTGAGCTACGTACCAGTGAAGCTTCCATTGACGTCTTGAATGGAAGAAATCAAGTTCTCTTCTCCACTTGTTGAAGCAGCAGCAGCGCAACCCCAAATGGAGAAGAGAAGCAATGCTACGAGAAAAGAACTAGACATGATTGTCTGCAAAGTGGGCTTGTGGGGTTTGGCAATTTATACTCCTCCAAGGAGATATATTGCAACACCAAAGGCCTATATAAAGTATATTTCTGATTAATTTTAAGACAAATTACTTTTATTTTACATATTGCAATGACTATATTGACCACACAAATGAAAAGGCGTGTGTCTCGTGAGTTATCTTGTGCACATAAGGCCAAGGAGCACATGTGGCCTCCACGTGAGAGATTGGGTACTATAATTCGTCGGTCGCAATTGTAAACAATGAGTGATTGCGACCTCATATTAACTGGTAATTTTCAACACTTATTTAAATGACATTTTTAATACCTTAAAGGGATGTTGACTTTGGAAGCAGAAAACTTGTCTCCTCAAAGGTGACGTTGAGATGAAGGCTAGACTGCCCAATGTGTGGGCACAAGTTTCATATTTAAATGCTTTTATATCCATGTCATTTTCTGGGAGACCAAAAGTTTTTCAAAGTCCAGGACAAACAAGCGACCTGAAAGTTCCAAACTGCTGTTCATGTGATGTTCCTTTTTTCTTACAGTCCCCACAAGTCTATGGCCAAGTTTTTCAAAGATGGTCTCGGCGTGAGATCGAGACGGCATCCCTCTTCAGTGTCTCCACCAGCGTCTTGATCGCCTCCTCCTCGCTCACTGGCTGACAGCACAGCTCCAGGTCCCGTAGCACTTCCCACCGTCTCTCTTCCTCACAAAATCCTTGTCAAAGGGAGCTTGGGCATGAACAATTTCCCAGCATACCTCATAAGCGACTTGAACTTGGCATACCTCATGAGAGACTTGGACTTGGCAGCCAGATCCCAGCCTCTCGCCCACACAGCATCTGCGAAGTTTTGACCTGATTAGAGCCTTTGAGACTCGCAGGTATGGAGATGGATAGAACGCTCAAGATAAAATATTAAGGGCAAAAAGCTGAAAAAAGTATATATTAGTTACAAATGAACTCATAGTTTGTAAAATACATTGCCAACGAAAAAAGCTATATATTTCGTTAGCAATAGAAAAACAGGAAATATATGCAAGAATTGCCCGAAGAAAGTTTCCACAAATATATTTATGCAGATTTTAGTCCTTGTATAGGTGACCGAGGCAAACCTGAAAATCTGAACATAGAGTATATGTTATAACTAGAAAAATAAATTCAAGCCCTAATTGCTCAAATTGTTTAATACAGTATTTTATACAGCAAAATGCAAAATTTTAAACTCAAAATTGAGTGCAAATATTTATGGGTTAATAGAGTGTATAATACCCAATCCAGGTGCAGGCAATTGTTGCCAAGACAAGCACTAGAGTTGGAATCATAGTAACAATAAGAAGGTACTCCATTCCTGCTTTACCAGCCAAAGATATTAATCCATCAGATAATGCTCTAGCTAGTGTCCCAGCTTCAGTGGAAAGAAATCCACAATTGAAAACTCCTCTAGATAGACGCGACGGCATTACTTTGGAAAGAAGTGACATGTTAACCCCTGAAACTTTTTCCAAGTGAGATAAAAGCTCCAGGAAATCCAAGACTAACCTTCAAGCACATTTGTTGAAAGGAAAATTACAATAGCCGAAGCAACATATTGCACTGTGGTATATCTGAATAATGGATAATAGCAGATGTTTGCAATGACTCCTAATGCAATTAGAATCTCTGTCCAAAAAATTACGACCCTACAAGAAAAAAACGTAGAAATGTGAGAAAAAAAAGGTGTTACTACCTATCCGCGAATGTGTTGCTGATATAGTTAGCAACCACTGCACAAATTGGAAGCACAGCCAATCCAAGTGCTCCTAAGAAGTATCCCACCTGATCAAAATATATGTGCATATTAAAAAATCTGCAAATGTTTGCATACCTGTGAAGAGCTCCACTGGAAGTAAAACTCAGAGATAATCCCAGATTCGGATACCAACATTTCCACGGCAAACTTGAGCATAAAATACACCAAGAGCAAGATCTGTACTGGTGTATTTATCGCCCTGAAGAGTTCTGAAATACTTCCAGCAGGTTTCCTGCCTTTGGCCGGAACCATTTCTTCTCCCAATAAAGGGTCAGTGATACCAGAACCAGAATCCGAACCATCATCTACAAAAGCACTGTGAACCTGGTTTTCTGTGTCATGGTTGACGCTCAGCCGCTTTGGTTCTTTGAATGCAAAGAGTGAAACGATCAGATATATTCCCCAAAGAAGTAACATCACCCATCCAGGAGCCGTGAATTGGTTCACTGGAAAGCCTAGCATCTGTTTGAAAGGTTGAAGTCATTCATAAACTATCGATATGTTTTCAGCTTACCTGGAAGTCTAGCTTGATGAGGAGGCTTGCAAGTGCAGGGCCAGCCGCCATTCCTAGCGAGCTGGCGATAACAAACGACGCTGATACGTTTGTAAGGTGCTTAACAGGAACATGATCCATAAGATATCGCCGGTTGATCGCCCTTGCACCTCCCAGCCTGTTACACAAGGCTCGAGCACGTAAAAAAATACGAAAACATTAAAATGTCGCAAGCAAGTTTACCCGCTCAAGGCACGTCCTATGACCAAAAACCAGAACGAGTGGAAGGGCAACGCCAGCGCGTACATGAGATTGCCGGCCATCAAGAGCAGCGTACTTATAAACAGTGGAGCTCTGTAAGAGAAGTTCGACCACCAGCTATAAACCAGTGCAGACACAAGTGCTGCCAGTGGCATGGCTCCAATAATCACCCCGTTCATGGTTCCAGGAACGTGTAAAGTTTCGGCATAATCATCTGAAGTGGGAACTATAATGTAGTAGTTTGCCTGGTACAAGATCCACGATTAGAACTTTTAGAGCATGGATGTGGCAATCGCAGTACCATGTAGAGGAAAGTATTCCATAGGTTGAGCTGGACCGACATGAAATGGAACTCTCGCTCATCGGCAGTTTCTAAAGCATGGTCAGACGGTTCAGGTAAGAGCAGGTCATTTGCAACGAAGGACATAAAAGTCACTTCTTTTGTAAGCCTGTGTAGTGCTCCTTCGAGAGCCTGTTCAATACCTAGTGTTACATTTCCATGTTTTGGGATGAGACAATACAGACCTTGATTATAGGTTCATGCTCGATAGGAAGAGATGACTTTCTAAAGAGAGAGAAGTAACTCTGTCTGTGACTGTGCCCGGAGCTCAGCTGAGCAAGATTTTGAGCTATAGTTCCCATTAGAGCTCCAATACCCTGCAAGCTTGTAAAAAATAAATACCAGAGAGAGAAGGAAAAACAACGAAACAGAAGAAAATGTGGAACACTTACCACTTGTTTGAAGACTTGTTGTAGTTGAGAATAAGGGTGGTTTATTCGGGACGCCAGATATTGTTCTCTGAAACGAAAGCCAACGCGCTTGTCAAATTTTTTAAGTATCTTCCTGAGGCCAGTGGTGTTCATCTCCACAAAGTTCAAAAGCTTGAGAAGCTCTTGTCCAATAGCTCTGCGTTGTTTACACGGAGTTTACACAGTGAATTCAAGTGACAGATGTTCTTGCCTGTATTCCTCAATTAGGTGATAGCTTGTCGCAGCCTCCACGTCAATTTCCATGGTGGCAAGGGATTTTTCCTGCTTCTCGGCCAGCTTCAGCAGCTTTTCTGCGAGAAGTCCTTGCTTCTCCATGAGAAACAGCACAATTCGCTCCACCTTTCCAAACAGGAGTGCCAAAATCACAAGCTTTGCAAAGAACTAGTTGAACTTGGTACCTGTGAGTCGAGAAGTTGCGCAAAAGAGCTTATGATTTGCTCTCTTTCCTCCGAGGAAGCATGAGACGCGCGAGCTGCATACTCGTTTATCCTCTTCTTCAGAGCCTTGTAGCCAATGTAGTGACTGGAACATCAAAAAGATCATAAATTTTTAGAGTTGACATTCCCCCGACATTCCTGTGATCTTACCTTTCCCATTCTGGAATTCTGTTCGCCAAGATATAATGTCCAAAGTGGACCATGATACCTTAACTCCTGCTATAGTTGCAATCCACTATCCACTGGAAGAAAAGAAAAGCAACCAAAAAGCTCAATGACTTGGCCACGCCGAAGATCAAGCCCCAAATGCGTACGCAACGAGGGACTGCCAGCTATGCCTTGGGAATGAATTGGCCGAGAAGAGAAGATCTAGCGCTATACGCAATTAATGCGCAAGGAGGAACACAATGGATCCTGGGAGAAATTTTTGGTAGAGGAGCTCACATCACACAGCTGGTCCCTGGGACCTCTGCGCAAACAGGACAAAACAAGAGCTCCAGTTTCACATGCATCTCAAAGCAAAAACTAGGCTAGAAAATTCACGCGAGATCACCTTAATCACGCCACGACGACCGATTCGATCCAACGCGTGTGCGCCAATCGCCTGGTGAGATCGATCGATCGATCGATCGAAATGCCTGCGCACTCTCCTGGAAAACCTAGCCGGGCCACTCAAAATTCCAGGGGAGCTTCATAGCAACTCGTTTTAGCAATGACGTACAGTCGTACGCATGGGTCGCCGCCCCTTTATACCAAAACGGACGGCTAGGGCTACGCCACTTGGCGCGATCCCGTTGGGAATATTAAAAGATTCAATAATCATTCGAATATACCCAGATATTGTGGTGTATATTCTTCCCAATGCTCGAATCTTCGCGGCTAGAGAATGTGGATCTCAGGGGGGCGAATCATAGGCCTGTATGTCTCTTTCGGGTGGGACCAGCAATCTAGCAAACCGTCTGACAGCTGGCAACGTCCACGTCATTGGATTGCCCAGACACGTGGTAGGCGAAGATGTTGCCACGTCGCCCGTGCACGCCCGTGAGCTAGAGAGAAAAAGGTGGCAAGAAAAGAAACTCCATGCAGAACGTGCTGCGAGGCCCGATGCTTCTTCAGGAAAGATCTTACGTATAATACTGTATTGCAGGCACGAAAAGTATGTCTATTCAATCGTATTGCGACACCTGGGCGTGGATCCGACGTGAATTCATATGATCCTGAAAGCGATCCCTGCGCTAAAGGCCATAATATAAACTATTCTCGTTGTGGATGAGATCACGTATTAAGGTTGTTTGAGTAAACGATATTATTATCTATAGGTCCTCGTGATCAAATCCAAGCACAACCAACAAGATGGCAAATCGCGACCAATAGGCATCGTCCACCGGTAAATAAAACGTGGTTGAAAATGTAATTTGTTTGAAAGGTAGCTCTCTTTTTCATTTAGCAGTGTTCTAGGGCAAAAAAGAGAGGCCCACACGCACGGGATGAGGGTGACAGTGTTGCGCCACAATTGGTTAGGGCTTAGAGACCACACATTGTGAGATTCCATGGAAAATATCAAGGAAATGTGACTGAAAAACCCCTACCAACTAGTGAAAGTACGTCCAATCGCGTACAACGGGGACAGCATATGCCACCGAATGTTCTCGCAAGTGGAAGAAATGTGCGTGGGATGTGAACCCGCGACGTATCACAGGCGAGGGCTAGGTTTTTTGTTTTTCTTGTGTTTTGGCGGTGAGCGCCAGTGTTACTTATACGATTGCTAGCAAACGCTCTCCTCGATCGATCGAGAGCCCCCCGCTCCTTCTCCCTCGATTCGCTAGCTAGAAATCCTTTGCGATCCAGTGATGGATCAATGCCGCTGCTGATCGAAAGCGAAATAGGGACTGATCGGCGTGCCAGGCGCAGGGTGTGTCGGTGATCTCGTCCTGTAGTGCCTTGTGTGTCAAGCAGCGAGCGGCTCCCGGCTTTCTCTTTTCCTTCCTCGTGTTACAGACATCCCAGCCCGTGAGGAGGTGACAACGCGAGCGCTATTTATCTCGATCTTCGCGAGGAACAGAGGAAATATCGCGTCCCAGGGGTTCTTGATCGATATTTCGCTCGAGGAGATCATCCATGGCCAACGCCGCGATTTCTTCCAGTCCAATGGGATCGGTCAGTGCGGGGGGCAGGAAAGACTACCTGCATGCCTGCAAATCAGCCAGCTCGTCGCTCGCCAAGCGCGATTTATTCGGGGCAGCTCTCCATCTCAAGAAGATCCCCGAGAAATCTAAGCCGAGGATCGCCAAATGCCAGGCGGCCCAGAAAGGAGGGAATGCCGCTCTATCGTCCGCTGTTCTAGTGGATTATCCCCCGCGCGAAGCAAAGGTGAGTTTGTATAGCCTCTTCTCCTATGGAAGCATTGATTCCTCTTGTTTGATCGATTTCCAGCAAGTCGAGCTACCATTCTCAGTGTTTGAGACCCCGCGCGTGGATCCCAAGTCGGTCGTCTCCATCATCCTGGGAGGCGGCGTTGGAACGCGACTGTTTCCCCTCACAAAGCAAAGGGCAAAGCCTGCGGTATGATCGAGAGCTACACCTTTTCTTCCTCTGCTTTCTCGTGTGTGTATTAACTCCCCGTCACACACTTTGTTCCTCAAGGTGCCAATTGGCGGTGGCTACCGCTTGATCGATGTTCCAATGAGCAACTGCATCAACAGCGGGATCAATCGAGTTTTCGTACTCACGCAGTTCAACTCGGCGTCGCTCAACCGCCACCTCGCTCGCACCTACAACTTCATCAATGCTGGGGAAGGCTTTGTTGAGGTGGAGGAAATGAGAGAGCTAGAAAAATCTGTTATACGGAGTGTTTGGTCTCAGATCTTTGTGCGTGTGATTGATGTAGGTACTGGCAGCAACGCAAACTCCAGGGGAGTCTGGTATGAATTGGTTTCAAGGGACCGCGGACGCCGTGAGGCAGTTCACTTGGCTTTTTGAGGTACTCTTACCATTTCCAAGGTGTTGGACTCGCATGCTGAGGTTTCGTTTTGTATGACAAGGATGTGAGAAACAAGGACGTCGACTACGTGCTTGTTCTCTCCGGTGATCACCTCTACCGCATGGACTACATGGACTTTGTCCAGGTATGTTTTCTTATGCGCGCAGTTTGTGTGGCGTGTGACTTATGTCAGTCGTATGGTGGTTGGCGTTGCTCCCGCAGAAGCACAAGGACTCTGGTGCAGACATCACCATCTCATGTGTTCCTGTGGACGAGAGGTGAGCACCTTTAGAATTTCCCATGCAAGTGAACCACTAGAGGTTAAAATGCTAGCGCGGACAGCTGTGGCCCGCTCCGGCGAACACTTGGTGTCGTTTCTCACAGTATCTTTGTCGTACTTTATTCAATTGTTTCTGGCATTCTGCCGAGCACTTGACGATTCGTTTCTTGTTTCTCTTCTTCTTTTCTTGTTTAGCCGGGCATCGGATTTCGGGCTCGTTAAGACCGACGCGAGGGGCCGGATCATCTCGTTTAGCGAGAAGCCCAAAGGCATGGATCTGAAAGCAATGGTAAGCTTTTCAGAAAGAGGTTCTTTTGTTTCACTTTCTCATGCAAGTGCTTTTTACTTTTTCTTTTTCGTGTTCAACAGCAAGTTGACACAACTGCGTTGGGTCTTTCACGGGAGGAGGCGAAAAAGATGCCATACATTGCATCCATGGGGATTTACGTGTTTCGCAAAGACGTACTCCTCAAACTCCTCAGGTGATATCAGTCTTCCAAATTTATTGGTTTATTTTACCTATTCTTTCCGGTTTGTTAAATCATTGTTAGATGGCGGTATCCTACCTCTAATGACTTTGGCTCGGAGATCATTCCCGCTGCAGCGAACGAGTACAATGTTCAGGTGGGAAGTTCGTGTGCTTTGTCTTGCATTCTACCCCTAAAACTTGATATTGCAGGCGTATCTCTTCAATGACTACTGGGAAGACATTGGAACTATTAAGTCGTTTTTTGACGCTAATCTCGCTCTCACCGCTCAGGTAATGCCTTTGGAGTTGGAACTTCGCAGTTAAACACTTACTCATACAAAAAGAAAACTCTTTTGCAGCCACCAAAGTTCAGCTTTTACGATGCTTCCAATCCCATCTTCACATCTCCGCGATTTTTGCCTCCAACAAAGATGGAGAAATGCAGGGTAAGTGTCGGGCTGCCTCATGAGGAAAAATTCTTGACCATGATTTGTCGCCGGTGCAGATTATAGATTCTATCGTATCGCACGGCTGCTTTCTAAAGTCCTGCAGTGTGGAGCATTCACTCATTGGCGTCCGTTCCAGGCTAGAGTCTGGTGTAGAGCTTAAGGTTTGTCATTTCCATCATACCCAAGACAGTGGTAAAGGTAGAACTGCTTAAATTTTTTGAAACAGGATACCATCATAATGGGAGCTGATTCCTATGAAACTGAGGCCGAGATTGCTGCACTGAGAGCACAGGGCAAAGTTCCACTTGGTGTGGGCGAGCACACAACAATGAGGTAAACCATAGGTGACAAGTTATTATAGTCACTGAAGCTAAATAATGCCATTTTCTCGATCTCAGGAACTGCTTGGTTGATAAGAACGCAAGGATCGGCAGCCATGTCATTATCACAAACACAGATGTAAGTTTGTTTTTCTCGATTCCTTTTTCATGAGCTCTCATCAACCACTGTGGATCAACCAGGGTGTGCAAGAGGCTGAGAGACCATCCGAAGGAATCTACATCCGTTCTGGAATCACTGTTGTCGTGAAGAACTCGATACTAAAGGATGGAACTGTGATATAATCTCCTAGAAATGTAACAGAAACAAAGCAAATTTTTGTAAATATCTACGGAGTGGATGCTGGGTCTAGTTACTTACCTGCTCTACTACCATGTCCAGAAATCCGGTATGGCATAATGGGATTCCTTGTAACTATTAACTCTTCTTTCTTTCTTATAAATGAAAGAAAACAAAAACAAACACATAGTCTTTGGCATATATCTATATCTTCTTTTTCATTTTGTAACGAAACTGAGAAATTTAGATTGCTGTGAACCATAAGGAGTTGTCTGTTACTCGCGCCAGACAGGGGTCGAACCTGTGACTTTCTGCTTAGGAAACAGACGCTCTATCCACTGAGCTACAGGCGCATTTCACGAAGTCGTACTGGCCCGGTCAACTCTTAGTCCACTCTAGTCAATGTACTGTTGACTGGAACCTCTCCTAGCGAATCAATTCCTGGACGATCTAAATTTGGACCTTCTTCCTCCAGCCAACATATAAACCATAACGATGAGAATTGTAGTAGCCCGAGATCTCTTATAACGATGTCGAAGCGTACTATAATTCTCATCATTTATGGGTAGCATTATTATAAGAAAACCAATCAAATGCAAGGACGCGGATCGACAATCTGGGCCGTTGGATGACGATCCTCCCGCCTAAGCTCCGCATTTAAATTTGCCGCGCTCAGTCGCTTCCAGCTAGGGTTCTTCGCTCGCTCCTTGCTCTTTGGAATCGATTGGAGAGTGTTGGTAGATAGTTCAGGAAGTGGGATGGCGCGCACCAAGCAGACTGCTCGCAAATCTACCGGTGGCAAGGCTCCGCGCAAGCAGCTTGCCACAAAGGCCGCCAGGAAGTCGGCGCCAGCGACCGGAGGCGTGAAGAAGCCCCACAGGTATCGTCCGGGCACCGTCGCGCTTCGCGAGATCCGGAAGTACCAGAAGAGCACGGAGCTGCTCATCCGGAAGCTGCCATTCCAGCGGCTGGTGAGGGAGATCGCGCAGGATTTCAAGACGGATCTTCGGTTCCAGAGCTCGGCGGTGATGGCGCTCCAAGAGGCGGCCGAGGCGTATCTCGTTGGTCTGTTTGAGGACACCAATCTCTGCGCGATCCACGCCAAGAGGGTGACGATTATGCCCAAGGACATCCAGCTCGCTCGCCGGATCAGAGGCGAGAGGGCGTGATGTGATCGATGATAAGATCTTAAGTCTTGTTCTAGCATTCCAAGTAAATATATTTCTTCTATCTATCGAGTCATTCTTTAGGGTTTAGCAGTCATGGAGGAGGGCTCTTCTTTGGCGCATTCCTTCCGCGCCGTGGCGGCAAGATTTCCAGGCCAGGTTTGTGTAATCCACGCCGGGGGTGATGGAGCTGTTGATCGGCGCTACACATTCTGGGAGATTTGGAGCTCTGTGAAGTGTTATAGTCGCCAGATTGCAAGCGCTCTCGATGCCGCAGGCTCCAGGGACTCTGATTCAGGCGTGAGCACTGTTGGAGTGATGATTCCTCGATCGGCCGAGTACCTGGTGGCGATTCTGGCCGTGAACAAGGCATCAGCGGTGTTTGTACCTCTCGATTCTTCGTGGCCACTTTCGAGGATTACCGAGGTCATGGTAGATTCGAAGGCCTCGGTGATAGTAGGATGCGATCAGTCGCCATGGTTGCCGGATGACTACCAGAACCATTTCAGTGGAGTTTCACAGAGTCTACCTTGTCGTGAGCTTCGCATTGGTGATCTGGGAAAACTGGAGCTGGAGGAGAGGACGAAGAGAACTACTTGGCCGTGCTCTAGACCACCATTTTCTTACATCATGTACACGTCTGGATCCACGGGAAAGCCCAAAGGCGTGTGCGGCACTGATACTGGTAAGCTTGTTTGCGTAGTAGTCCGGATCTTAAAGTTTTTGTTCTAACTAGGATTGCTCAATCGTCTTCAGTGGATGGAGGACTCATATCCGCATTCTTCATCGGACGTTGGCTTGTTTAAGACTGCGATTGGTTTCATCGATCACTTGACTGAGTCTCTTGGTCCGCTCTTTGCCGGGGCGTCACTCGTCATTCCTTGCGAGCGGGATATCAAGCGAAATCCTCTTGGACTGCTAAACTATTTGCAAGTGCGTGTGAGTTTTCGTTTCTTATCCTTTTAATTGTTGTTTTAAAGCTTGCAGGCTTTCAGCGTGACAAGACTGGTTGCCGTTCCATCGTTGCTACGCGCACTTTTGCCTGCTTTTCAAGCTTCTAGCTCTGGAAGTATGAGGCTGCTTCTTCTCGTATCAAGCGGAGAGGCACTGTCATACAGGCTGGTGCTTGAACTTCGCAAGAGTCTACCATGGATACGGGTTTTAAACCTGTATGGCAGCACAGAGGTAAAACACTTCTACACTCTTGGGATGCTAAGCAAATTTACTTTTTCAGGTGTCTGGTGACTGCTCTTGTTTCGACTGCAACGAGTTGAGCGATATGTTTAGCGAAACGAATGTTCCTATTGGGAAGCCTATTACAGGTTGCTTCATTCATATCCAACCAGTCGATGGTGCCGATGTCAACTTCGGAGAATTGTGCATCAGTGGTGCAGGTGTTTCGCACGGATACTGGAACGATGAAAGCGGCACTTCTCTCCGATTTTTCGAGTCCAAAAAGAAAAAGGCTTTCAGAACCGGAGATTTGGCAAGGAGATTAGAAAACGGAGGCATCATTTTGGTCGGGCGGACGGACAGGCTTTTTCAAGTCCACGGTCAACGAGTGGAACCTGAAGAAGTCGAAAGGTGTCTAGAGGAAAATCAGCAGGTAAAGAAAGCAGCCGTGTACCCTCTTCGTCTTGCAAGCGATGACATCCAACTAGCAGCTTGTGTTATCTTGGAGGCAAACGACGACAATCATAAAGAGGATAAGCTCAGGGAATGGCTGACGAAAAGACTCCCGTCGTATATGGTTCCCGAGCGTTATATTTTCGTCGATGCCTTCCCACTGACGAGCTCTGGAAAGGTTGACTATTCCGCCATTCAAAAGCTGAGTAACACCGTTGCTTCTCCTGGAAAATTACAACCATTTGCTTCGGAATCTGTTCAAAGGGTCATACAGGTAAATAGAATTCTTGTTTTCCATGTTCCAACTGTTTCCCGTGGACCTGCAGATTTTCTCACAAGTGTTACTTTCTGACAGCATTTCTCCTTCAGACGATTTTTTCTTGTCCGGAGGAACGTCGGTTTCTGCAGCCCATGCCGCTCACTTACTCGGTATTGACATGCGTCTGCTCTTCAAGTTCCGGACAGCTCTCGAACTTTATGACGCCATGCAGAGTGCTCAACGTGTGGATGGTGACAAGGTTGAGGTAAGAAGAAGCGGTAGCCGTGAAGAAGTAACCTGCTCTTGCTACGGCCCAAAGAGACTCAAGACTGTTCATACTTATGTTTCGCCTCGTCCATCTTGGCCTCGTCATATTTCGGTACCTACGCCCTCCGTTTTCGTTCGACACAACCAGTATAACCAGGTAGTAACAACGAAATGCAACCTTGGTACTTCAGGCTCTCGGGAAATTCAAGTTACATGGGGGAAATGCTTGCACGCTTGTGTTGATGCGTCGCCTTTATTGTTGGCTACAACTTCAGGCTATCGGCTCTACATTGGCTCTCATGCTTGGAAGTTTTTCTGTATCGATGCTATCAGGTACCTTTAGGACCTTTTACGTGGTTTTCATCTAACGTCGAACTAATGCAGTGGGGAACAAATATGGGAGACAAGTCTGGGAGGTCGGGTCGAGTCTACAGCTGCTGTGACGGGCGACTTTTCACAGGTCGAGACTAGTTTTCCTTCTTTTACTTTCCATCTCTTAATTAATGTGAGCATTCCAGGTTGTTGTTGGCTGTTATGATGGTTTTGTGTATTTTCTGGATCCAGACAACGGAAGGGTCGTGTGGAGATTTCAAACAAATGGCGAGGTAATATTTATTCTGGGAACTTTAGTTTCGCATCAAATTTACGTCGCAGGTAAAATGCCAACCAGTTGTTGATACTTGGGAAGGATACATCTGGTAAGCTGCCATTAAGCAGTATATGAGACTCTGAGAGTTTCCTGCAGGTGTGGTTCGCATGACCATATTGTGTATGTTCTGGATCCTATTTCTCGTACGTGCATATGGAGGTATTTGTGTCATGGGAGCATTTTTGGATCTCCAGCAACTGATGCAGTAAGTCGATTGGCGTTTCCTATTGTTCAGCCAGAGATTAATGTTTTTCCTTGTAGTTGCGGAAGAATGTCTACATTGCTACAACTGGTGGTCGGCTGTATCTCATTTGCACGCAGGTATTCTAATAGCTTTGTAGGCTGACTGGCCTATCTCTACGATGTTTCAGCCAAACTATGGTTTATCCTGGGAACGCGATGTAGGGGCACCTATTTTTGCGTCCCCCAACGTAGATTCTTCCACCGGAAACGGTATTGACTCGCTTGTGCTCCTGTTCCTCACTTACACACTTTTGCAGTTCTCGTTGCTGCTGTTGATGGTTCTGTAACCGCGTTTTCTTCTACTGGTGACATTGCTTGGAAGGTTTGCTCATAATTTTGTTTCACCTTTCAAGCCTCCCGTTCCAACTTCCAGGTGAACACACTTGGTCCAGTGTTCTCTGGTGTATACACCTCCTCGGCAATCTTTCACCAAGTAAATTGGACTGTTTTTGGCCACTCCTAAGTTTCTTGCTGTCAGGTTCTCGTATGTTCTCGGGACGGGCATGTTTACTCATACTGCCAGGTAAAACGAAGGGATAGTCCATTGCATTGTTTCTCACGGATTTGTGTGACAGATTTCTGGCAAGCTTCTATGGAAAATCTGCCTGGAAGAACCAATAGTAGCCGGACCGTGGATCGATGAAGCCATTCAACTAGTCGAGGAAGACAACGCTTACAGGTGAAACAAAGACATGCTGTCTAATAACACGCTCTTGGTTCTCTTCGTCCAGGCTTTTGTGCGTATGTACTACCTCTGGAAATCTCTACGTTCTCAAAGCTCCAGCGATGGTTTCATGCGACCATTCCTTGGGCGAGCCCAAATCACAAGTTCCTGGCTGTGTTGCTGTGATAGGAAAATTTAAGCTGCCCGGGGACGTATTTTCAACACCCATGGTTCTTGGAGGACAAATATTCGTTGGATGTCGAGACAATAACTTCTACTCTCTTTCCATGCAAGGTGGCAAATGATTCTCGTGAATATTCTTTCTTTCAAGGATGAAAAGTTTTAAATCACACGGATATTCGTTAGCTAGGGTTTTAAGTTTCGGCTATGGAGGATGGCGCCATCGCCTACGAGCAGCAGGAGCGATTGCGGCGCTTTGTGGATGAGTGGAGGGACCAGGTCTGGAAGCTGGGAGGAGCCGCCTCTCCGTGCAATGCGGATCCTATTGGTTTGGCGCTCACGCTTTGCGAATCTGGGGTTTCGCTTCCAAAGATGATCGTCAGCGACAATGCCACTGTCAACAAGGTTCTCATGCCGCTGGCCTTCGATTGCGTGGAAATCTCGCGATTTAGGCGAGAGGTAGGCAAAATCTGGTCCCAGAGCTCCGATATTGATCGAAATTTTGCAGGCGCTGGAAAAGATCTATCCCCGGCTGCTCGTATTTGGCGATTCTGACAAGGCTTCTCTCGAGGGAAGCGTCCAACTGGCATTCGCAAGGTGGTATGGATTCTTCCACGAGCTTAAAACTTCGATCGTGGGATTGAGAGGGTTGCTGGGGAATCTCTTTCGCCAGTTGCAAGCACTCTACTCTCCACTCTCGAGAAAGAAGCAAACGTTCTCGACTCTCTCGAGCGTGCACTTCCACACAGCGATCAGCTCCCTCGGTGAAGGTTTTGGAATTTTGATGATACTGGACGAGATTGTTTCGCATAATGGAGCTATCGGCCATTCCCTGTCCCTGTTTACAAGGTATGTATGTGTGTTCTTTGCTCGCAATGTGAGATTTTTACCTAATAACTTTCTTAGAATGTTGCAGTCTGTGAGAGCTGAACCAGATTCTTTCGACGTGGAAGCTAATCAGATCGAGTCTCTTCATCGTGCTGTGAGTGAGATGGACGATCTGCTCGTGACCGGCCTCTTTCAGGTTTTTTTTTTTGCGTTTTGGCAGTGATGATGAGTAGAACTAATATGTTTGTGGCCCAGAGATGCATACACGAGGATTTTTCTCTGCAATTAGAAAAGGAAGAACTCAAAGACAATGCTTTGTTTCTTGAAGAGGTATCCTTCGGCTTAAGGACGGCCATTGTCAAAGTCTTAAATGCCATCGGTACGAGCTTTTCTACGAGTGTAGATGGTCCTAATGGAACTTTTGTTTTAGAAACCTCCAAGGAGCAACCTGACGACCGTGAGAAGCTCGTGGGACTTTTGGGAGTTTTTGTGCTCTATTCATGGATCAGTGGTATGCTGTAGGAACTCCTTTTTCATCTCCTTGATAGTATTTGTCTTTACCAGGAGAAGCTAGTGACAAGAAGACACTGAAAATGATCTCGAAACTAGCTGCAAATTTTCCCGTACTGCATCCGGTCTCAAACGTGAGGTTTCTCTCGATCGAGTTTTTAAGTGCACACTCTCCGTCTTGGTTTCGCGCCTCAACGTTGTTCAGGGACGTGCGAAGGGATGCTGCGATCTTGAAGCGTAGCTACCTTACCCGTTTGGACGAAGCTCTGATCAAGTAAGGCTTTCGTTCTACTGATATTTGAATTTCTAATATGCACATTCGTTCTAGAGATTCTCATGAAACACATCGTTCAATCTGTGATTGGCTGGTTTCATTTAGCACGTTGGCAGCTTCATCACCTGTAAGTGACCTCTCGTCGTCGTCTCCGATCTGACGTTTTACTTTTAAGGTAGGCGCAGAATCTTTCTAGTCAGTCTCTACTGGATAGGCATTTGCAACAAGCAACCCTGGTACGTTACCAAGAGGTTTCCTCTGATGCCTGAAGGTTTTACAGGGGATTCTGCTTGCAAACAAGCTTCAAAAGTTTCTAAGATCTGCAATCGATCTGCATGTTCTTCTCGAGGTACGTTTAAAGGCTGCGGTTACAAAGTTCTTAGATATTGTATTCAAGGTGCCGATAAGCAAGGAGCAAGTGAGACAATTGCGTTACGGAATGGAACTACTCAAAGTAAGCATTTGGGGATGTCTTCAAACTTAATGCGTTTTATTTCTCAGGCAATTGAGTACATGTTCAACAAACTGAGGCAGGAGGTTGCGCTGAGTGTTGGCCAGATAGTTGGCCATCTTATGTCTGTCGTCAGGGAACGTCTATTGCAGTTTAAGGTACATAAACAAAATAAATTCTGTTCCTCGTGATAATTTGCTGCAGTCTTGGCTGGCAGAGGATCTAAATTCAAAACTAAAAACTTCTAATGGAAACATGTTTAACCGTTCGCCGAGCAGTAAGCTACCTCAACCTGTGGTTTTCTGGCCAATCTAATGTGTTTTTTGGCATGAAGAAACAAGGGAACCAGAACTTAAGCTCATGGATGCATTATGTGCAGTAAGTGCTTTGCAATTCTAACTCGTGACTAATCTGCATCATTTTAAACAGCTGAATATTACAATGAAAGCACTGGATTTTTTACCAACAGTTCAAGGATTGTTTACATTTCGCCTTGCCTTCGATGTAGTGACTTGCTTGGTAATTCCAGAAGGTTATTTGAAATTATGCATTGTGATGACCCCCTTGCTCTTCTTTTCTTTTTTTGTTCGTTCTTTTAAACAGCAAAGCAAGCTACAGGAGGAGCGTATCAAGGAAATTGAGGACTACATTGCTCTCATAGAGTTGACTTTGAATCGAGGAAGCTTAATTCAAATGGCCACAGACTGTAGCTTCTTATTTTGGAACAAAGAGATGATGGCAACCTGCTTCTCTATGGTTTATTCACAAGCCGGCGAAGCCAGACATTTGCAGTAAGATTTCAACTTTTGAATTCATTTCTTCACTTGGCATACTTTTCTTATTAGGTACTTGGTGTCTGCATTTTTGGACGGAGCCAAGCTACTCCAGTGTGGATGTGCTGATGCCTCATTGTACGAGAAGTCGATACGGGATTGCCTACTTACAGTAAGTGAGAGAATGCTCTTTTTATACTAACTCGCTATTTTACTTGACAGGAGGTGGTAGAACCCATCTGTCACGATATAGAGACGGATTTGAGGCTACATGTACACTCGGCTCATTTGAAAGGAGCAGTGAATGTAAATCCTACAAAGGTGTGTTCCTGCACAAGATTGTCTCTTTCTTATATTTCTTTCAGACAGGAGTTCGGGATCCCTCCTGGTTTCTAAAAATCAAACCTTTACGCCTCCTCTCTTCGTTCATTCACATTAAGTCTCGGGTTGAAGTCTACCTGAATGCAGCATTTTATGACCATGCGGCCGTTGCGCTGCACAACTGGAAGGTATTGTTACAACTTTCAGTGGTTGATTGACAGCCCTGGTTTTTTCAGACATACAATGAAATGAAAAATATCGCGGAGCTTAAATATGGGCTTTCGTTGGATGCAATTCATCTTCCTGGTCAAACTTTAGAGCAAGGGGTGGACGTATTGGAAATAATGCGCAACATACATATATTCGTAGCGTGTTACACCTACAACCTCAACACTCAGGTAAACCTTGATTCAAAAAAGTGCCCAGCATTTCACACCTTTCTACAGGTATTTGTCGAGAGACCTTCAAATGCACGAAACAGGAAAAATCTGAATACGGTCAACGTGAAGCACGCTGCAAATTCAATCCGGACTCATGGCATTGGAATTATGAGCACCACTGTGAACTTCGCGTATCAGTTTCTTGCTCAGAAGTTCCTGGTTTTCTCACAATTCTTATTTGATGATCACATCAAGTCTCGAATGGTGAAGGAACAACGATTCTATAAGGTAAGATGCTTTCCAAGGCTCAATAACTAAATGTTATTTGTTTCAGGAAAAGAAACTGCAAGCCGAGAGCGGCTACCCAGTGGAAAGAGCTGAGAAGCTGAACAAAGATATTAGGAAACTTGGAGTTACTGATGATGGATTCAGCTTTCTAGACCAGTTTCGACGTCTCATTGCGGAGATGGGAAACGCGCTCGGCTTTGTCAGGATGGTTCGCCTAGGGGGATTGAATTATTGCACTACTGCTTGCGGGTAAGAGAGTGTAGTCCAATGGAAATATAACTTCCTTTATTTTTGGCAGGTCTCTGCCGATGACTAAAGGATTTGAGGAAGCAGCCAAGACATTTTTCTTGCCCAAAGCTGGCATTGATGCCGGTCTGATACTGGATAAGGCTTTAGAGAGCCAAAACCTATCAGTCAACGAGACTGATTACTTTGCGATCCTTACAAATATATTCTCGGTAACTCAATATATTATGTGGAATGATACATACGTTCTCTAGCAGGAACTTAAGGGCAATGACAACATACATCTGCGAGATTTTTTCTTGTTGGTTCCTGCTCTGACTATCAATGCGGCGGATGCAATACTCCAGTCAAAAGAGAAGCTTCATAAACGCGGAAGAGATGCTGTAAATGCAACGTTTACCGACGATGGATTTGCTCTTGGGATTGCCTATATTCTGAAGGTTAGTAATCTTTGACACGCAGTTACAAATATCAAACTGGATTTCAGGTTCTGGACCAAGACAAACAATTCGATTCTCTGCACTGGTTTCAGTCTGCCAGACAGCATTTCGTAGCTGAGAGAGCACGCCTCGAGGAGAGCCTAGACATGGACAGCACTGGCAGCGGCATGAATGGGCTGCAAGCTTGGAGCCAGAAGCTGGCATCTCTCTCAAAGGAAGAAGCTCAGAACATGCAAATGGTTTGTTTGCTTTGAAATGCCAGTGACGAGAAACTTATTCTGCTTTCTCTGTTTCCAGATGATGAAGAAGATTACAGCAATTCTTATGGAGGTAGAGCTCATTGAATTCACTTTCACGGGAGCAAGAGTTTTCTTTCAAGGTTTTTATTGATTGTCTGGCAGTCCATTAACCTAATGCATCTCATGCATTGCAGGAAGTTGAGGACTCTCCGCGAATCGAAAGCAGGGGTACCGTTTGATCGTGGAAAGTTAGAGCAACAGCAAAAATGTCTCACACTCTTGCAGCAGTGCCAAGATTCAGGGGAGCTAGATGTGCTTTATGCAAGGTTTACCGGTACCGGGTACTTAGACAACGTTTACTTCAGAAACTGGCTCATTCAGCTACATGGCAAGTTTGGAAACACACAGAAATCTCGCGAGGTGTTCGATGGCATGCAGCAGAAGAACGTTTACTCGTGGAGTATGATGATTGGAGCCTATGCCCAGAATGGGCATCGCAACGAGGCATTTTTGCTGTTCGAACGAATGGAAAGTGAGGGAATCCGTCCAAACGCAGTGACCTGTCTACATGTTCTGGGAGCGTGCTCTTATCAGAACGAGCTTCCATTCGGGAAGAAGGTTCACGCCTACATCTCGGCCAGCGAGTTCAAATGGGACATATCTCTCCAGACATCTCTTGTCAACATGTACGCCAAGTGTGGTAGTCCAGCAGATGCGAAAGCGGTCTTCGACAGCATGGCTCGGAAGGATATAGTGACTTGGAATGCAATGGCTGGTGCATCTGTTCACAACGGGCAGTCACACAAGCTTCTCCGAGAGATGGACTTACAGGGTGTGAAGCCGAATGCCACTACTTATGCCAGCATCACCAGGGGTTCTTCGACGCTTACAGGTTGCAGGGCTATGGAGCAGCGGCTCCTCGCATCCGGTTATATGTCACACGTTCCAGTCCAGAATGCTCTCGTCAACGTGTACGCGAAGTGTGGAGATTTAGAAGGAGCCAGAAAGGTTTTCAACCGGCTGGAGAGGAAGGACGTGATCTCCTGGAGTACTATGATTTCGGCGTACAACCAGTCCGGCCGCCACAGCGAGGCAATCGAGATCTACAGGCTGATGGAGTCAGAGACCTCGGTGGAGCCAAACGCAGTCACTTTTGTTGGAGTTATAGGGGCATGCACAGGCTGTGGAGATGTGATTCGGGGCATACAAGTTCATGGAAGACTAGTTTCTTTGGGGCTTGAGACTGACGTTGCGGTGGGAAGTGCTCTGGTGCAAATGTATGTCAAGTGCGGAAGCCTGGAAGATGCAAAGAAGGCGTTCGATCGTGTCGAGAAGAGGGACGTTTTGTGCTGGAACTTTATGCTCTCGGCCTACTCCGAGCGTGGTTCTCCCCAGCAAGTTATCGAAGCATACGAAGCTATGGACGTGGAGCCTAATGCTGTGACATACACCAACGTCCTCATCGCTTGCTCGGCTATGGAGGACCTGGCCCAGGGGCAGAAGGTTCACTCTCGAATCGTGAGCAGTGGACTTGAGACCGACATGACAATGGAAACCGCCCTTCTCAGCTTGTATATCAAGTGCCGAAGCTTGAAGAGCGCCTGCCAGGTCTTCGAGGCGATGGGGAAGAAGGATGTGATACCTTGGAACTTCATGATGGTGGGCTATATCGATCACGACTGCGATACCGAGGCTCTCAGGCTGTACGCGAGAATGCATGAAGCCGGTGTCGAGGCCAACAACGTCACCTTTGCCAACGCTCTCAAGGCATGCTCGAAGATCAAGGACATCGAAACAGGCAGCAAAGTCGAGGCTATGATCACAACGAAAGGATTTGAGACGGACGTCGTCACGGACACAGCACTGCTCAACATGTATGCCGCATGTGGAGACTTGGAAGCCGCGAAGAGGGTGTTTGGCAGCCGCAGGGGCGAACGCCGAGACGTGGTTTTCTGGACCGCGATGATCGCGTCATACGCTCAAGCAGGCCGTGGCGAAGAAGCTCTCGCGCTCTACAAGACGATGCTCTCCGAGGAGATCAAACCCAACAGCGTCACATACACGAGCGTTCTGAGTGCGTGCTCGAGCCTCGGAAACATACTGGAAGGCAGGAAGATTCACTCGAAGCTGGAGGGAAAGGCCGAGGAGCTGGACGTGGCCGTGCAAAACTCGCTACTCAGCATGTACGCCCGGTGTGGAAGCCTGCGAGACGCTTGGAGCTGCTTCGCCAAGATCCACAACAGGGACGTTTTCTCGTGGACGGGGATGGTGGCAGCGTTTGCTCACCACGGCCACAGCGCCAGAGCCCTCGAGCTCGTCCGAGAGATGGAGCTGTGCGGGGTCTCTCCCGACGCCGTCACCTTCCAGAGCGTTCTACACGCGTGCAGTCACGAGGGATCGCTGGAGAGAGGCTGGGCGAGCTTTGTGTCCATGGCTGTGGACTACGCCGTGGAGCCGAGCAAAGATCACTACCTGTGCATGGTTGATCTTCTGGCGCGGGCTGGGCGACTGGCAGAGGCGAGAGAAGTGATCCAGTTTGTGGGGCTGGAGAGGGAGAGCATGGGCTGGATGATGCTGCTTGGTGCGTCGAGAACGCACAGCAACCTGGCCATGGGAGTGGAGGCTGCGCAGTGCGTGGCTCCAGAAGATGGCCTTGCGATGTGTCCTTTGTTATGCAGTGTTTACGTATTGTAGACAAATGGGAGGCATCTTCCACTTTACACACATTTGTTGCTAGCTTGGTTTTTTCTAATCAAAGTATTGACATGAAATAAACATGGTGTATTCTTACATCTTTTAAATCTTTAACCTTTTAAATTCTATTTTATAAAGTAGTTTTATTTCTCATATTTTATATTTTGTTTTAACTACACAGCTTTAGCCCTATAATTAAGTGCTTGCTCTAGATTCTATCAACACAAGATTTTGTATGATAGGTATAGAGGGCGACCAAGAGGAGGAGGGCCACAGTGTCTTGTAGAGCTTGTCATCCTTGTGGGAGTGGAGGCGTTGCAAGTGGGAGTAGGCCACAAGAGCAAGGCGTGCTTGCCATCCCAATCAAACCTGTAGCCAAACAAGCTTGGATACGAGTGACACTCGCCACACTCCTTTTGATCGAACCGAGGCTCTGAGATGTTGCATCCTGGGTCGAGGAAAACACCAAAGGAGCTGCCACTCACAAATCCATGGAAGAAAATGCCCCAAACGATGAGAATTGTAATAGCCCGCAACATTGTAAAAAGAGAGCCATGGATATGGAATTTATATTTGTTTTGGCTTGAGGAGAAAGGTCCAAAGTTAAGTTGTTTTCTTGCCAGGAATAATTGATTTGCCAAGTTCTCGCTGGACACGTTAACACTAAAATGAGAACGTTGCCATTTAACACTACATTGACTATAGTGGACTTAGAGTTTACCAGACTTGTCAATGCGCCTGTAGCTCAGTGGATAGAGCGTCTGTTTCCTAAGCAGAAAGTCACAGGTTCGACCCCTGTCTGGTGCGAGTAACACCGGTTTATGGTCCCTGGCAATGGCAATTGAATCTTCTTTTTAGGTTCCTGTGACGATACCATCACTTTGGCGTGCAAAGATGGCAGTTGGGCACAACTCTCATCAAAGAACTGGTGGATTCCTGGGTTTTTTCAGCTGGGAGTTTGTAGAAACTTTTTCTAGCGTTGATAAGTGGTGGAAAATTGCATGACATTAAGGACAGAGAGAGCACCCACCCCAACCCCATAACCGTGAGCTCAGCAAGAATGGAGCCCTGCATGTCAAAGCCAGCTACAAATTAGACAGCGAACACTTGAATTGCAAAGCTTGAAACTCTATGCTTTCGGCAGTGAGAGAAGGTGCTGTTGTAAGGGAATCTCACAACCTTGCCATGCAATCAAAATGCCAAAAATTCTATCAGAAAACTCTATCTCTCACTAAAATTCATATTTTGCCAGTTGGAAAAGCCATATGTATATAGAAAGTCAAACAATGGATGATTCCATAATAACATTTACACACCTAAGTATCATAAGTTTTTATCAGAAAAGGTTAGAAATAAAAATTAAACTATACTTACTTATTATATGGGTTTTCAATTATTACTTAATAACTTATTTCTCCTTAACAAATTAAAAAGTAAAAATAAATAAATATTTTTCTGATATGTTTTTAATAAAATTATTTCAAAAATCTAATAAATTAAGTTAATTTTATATTGTATAAAAATAATAAATTAATTTAAATTTTATCTTTATATTTATCTGAATGTCAGATATTTAAATTCAAGATTGTTGTGCATCAAACACTATTTAATAAACCCTATAAAAAGTAGAGGTTTTAACATTTTTTACTTAGAGTATTTATATTTCTTCATTTCTTTATTTATCAGTCAACTCATGATATTTGCATCCTTAGATAAATAACAAACTTCAGAAAAATGGTTATTATTTTTCTACTCAATCTAAGATATTTTCATATAGTTAAAAATTAGTGATATAGAGCAAGGTGTTGCTCTTTTATTTTAAGGCTTAGATGGTTTTGATCCCAGCAAGGTTGCCCCAAAAAGTGCCCCTTATTGTGGAAAATAGGAGAAACAAAATCTTATTAGTTTTGTTAATAATCAAAACTGTGCAAGCCAAAGTTCCCATCATTACCTATATAAGAGATAGAGAATACCAAGTGCTTATGGTTAATTGAGTAGCATAACTCTCAAGTTATACTACTTTCTTACCAAGAATTGATTTAGCTAGTGAACATAAATGAAAATATTGTTATTCAACACTATATTGATAAGAATGGATTAGCATAAATTTTTTAATGCATATGTAGCTCAATAAATAAAATGTCTATTTCCTAAGTAGAAAGTCAAAGGTTTAACCCCTATTTGATACAACTAATAATTAGTATAGTCACTCTATATGAAAATGACCACTATATTATATATTTTGTAATTGTAACTTATAATTCTAACTTTATATGACTTGACAAAATCTCTGTCTTTCCCCCTCTCCCTCCCTAGGAAACTCTTCAAGGACATTTCACACAATAACAAACCCACTTTAAAGATGTAAGCATAATAACTTGAGGCTAAACTCCCCATATTTACTTTATGCCATTAAACTATAGTAAGACATGTTTAATGCTCCACTTTATCTCAATACACCTTTGTCAATTATAACATTCTAAAAATGAATTCCACACAATAGATTTTCATTAGATAAAAAATCTCTACAAGTGTGATATTGCCAACTAACCCCCTCTATACAAGCATCGAATGTTGTGTAAAAATAATTGCACTTTCTATTGTGTATAGAAGAACTCTTCATATCACCAAGCTATACTCTTCAATAAATTTTGTTGAAACAAAGTTATCATTACTTTCACTATTCAATAAAATTTACACTAAACTATAGAACATACCCTCCAGCATTAAAAGTGATTCATGTTCTCATCCTCTACCTTATTCCACACATAACCTAGTTAATGAGAAATGATTGAGAGTTGCTTCTTTAAATTAGAACAGTCTTCATCATCATCCTCACATTATAAATTTTGCAACTTTACTATTAATAAAAGATTAACTATTCTTTTTATTCTATTACTTGTTCTTCAGTTGTAGACAATCAACCTTTTAGTGTCTAAACTCACTAAAATTATGACAATCTTACTTATAGTTCTTCATAAAGAACTTTTACTTCTTCAGCCATTTTATATCTAAAGTAACCACTATAGACTTCAATTTATGATATTTATTCCCATCTTTGTGTCTATAATAATTATCATAATAATTATTTATTGAAAGGCTCCTTAAACATTTATGAGACTTGTGCTTATTATTGTCAAGTCGACAACCCATATCAAAGAGCTCTTCCAAATGCTTTATAGGTTGAGAATGATATAAGTGTTGCCTCATGCTCTCACTTTAAAAGCCATCAATAAAGTGAAACTTATTCTAATTTAGATCCTTCATTGAAATATGATTAATCAAGCAAATAAGCTTTTCAATGTACTCCCTAAGTGTTATTTTTCATTGTTGAAAATATCAAAACTCCATACAAGCATTCTCCATATCATAGTAAAAGGAAAAATATAGATAAAAAACAACTTCAAACTCATCCATAGTAGATAATTAGTGGTTTTTGTCCTCAATATAAGACTCCTTAAGCCAATTTCATTATCAAAGATTTACATCATACAACTATTGGAATAGCCACTAAAGTCTTTGCATTTAGAATTCCTCTAACAACAATTTTTTTTCATATTGTGTGCTACATATGGTTTTCACTCTATACCATATGGTAAATTATTATAGGAGCCATAGAAGAGAACCTAACCTTTGACACATGTGCTAAAGGCAATAAAGTGAGATTTGAGTTTTAGGGCCTTAGGAGACAAGACTAGTATATATTCAAACACCAAAACCAAAATAGAGCCAAATGGTGTTTACTACTATTTTAACATATCAGTGGTCTAATGTGAAGATATAGATATTCCTAAAGGTAAACTCAAGTAAAAAACAAACATGCCTAACTACGAGCTAAATAATATTTTAAGTTGGTCAACCATACCTAACATACCAATTATTCCTACTATATATTTTGGAACCCTCTATAGCCACCACCTTATATAAAAGTTTACTTTGGGCTTTCACCTTAGTCCTATGAGTTAGTCTATGGAATAAGCTTGAAAACTTATTAAATATGGAATGATATTATATTATGCATCAAGATTTTTTTTATATTTTGTAGATATGCTTAATTGGCATATCTAAACACTTGTTATAAATGACTAATATAATTGATATGAAACCAACACATTAGAGTATGATATCAATAGAAATAGTAAACTATCATATAGCAATATTGAGGGATTAGTGCTCAATATATAAAGGTTCTTACAAAGATAGTGCAAGACAAAGTAAAATAGAACTAAAAGTTAAGCTGACTATAAATCTATAAATTCTTACTTTATGTTTATTTGGGTGGGAGTAAGGATGAAAGGACTTGTTGACAAATAACATTCAATGCCCACAATCACATTTACAACACATTAATTACCTAAGTCAAACATGCCACCATCACCTCAAAATATTGGATTGGGAAGCCTTGCCTAGAACATGTAGCACATGTGGTTTTCACTTTTTACCCTATAGTGATTTACCATAAGATAACTATGGGCCTCTAAACGAATAGACAAAGCCAAACACTCAAGTATATACATAAGGAGTGAAGAAATATGAGCATGGAATAATTTTTGAATATATAACCAAGGAGCAAAAGATAGGAATATAAGGGACATTAAAATAGTCTTAGAGCATCTAACATCCCAATGCTAAGATTTACACGTAAAATAAAGTTAAATAAATTTTGTTATTTCAACATACTAGTGGCTAAACGTGAGGATATAGGTACTCTCTCAATTAGCATAGTATAGAGTTTGGGCTTAGACACCACCCCCCCCCCCCCCCCCCCTAATTATGTAAATATGTTTTGGCCTTCCATCCCAATCCCATTCTAGAACAATCTCAAAAACTTACTTAGAATATCATTAGATTGTAAATTTAAACATGAGAATGTGTTTAGGACAATCTATGCCTGCCTAGCTAGCAAATCTAGACATTTTCCATAAACAATGGGACTGAATTAAATTATCATACAAGACATAATTGTAAGCAACCAAAAGGAACGACTTGAGAGATGATCCATAAGGGTTCAAATATAGAGGGAAAAGGCCCATGAACAAGAGTGCACCCCCTTTTCTAATCGGTTAAGGGTCTTGGGATAGTTAGAGTTAAGTGTCCTTGGGTTTGAATAGTACTGGGTTGGGTGACCTCCCGGGAAGTCCAAACTCAGGAGCTTACAATGATTGTAAGGGTGTTTGGCAAACACAATAAGTTATCTTATAAAAATATTAAGGGACTAATATGGGTTTTTGTCACTAATCAGTGCAAGACATAACCAAACATGAATTCTTTATTGGGCTAAATATGTTCAATTAATAGCAAAAAGGAATTTCATTCTTATGCTTGTCTAGTTTATGTACACTCAAAATATTTAGGTAACTCCATTAGCACAAGAGGGATTGATAAAGGGTCTAGTAATATTAATCTTCCACCATTGTAGCAATAAGAGAAGAATATCTAAAAAAACTCATTGATAGGTACCTTTTAATGCCTGTAGTCACATTTGCAATAAAGCACCACTCAAAGAATCAAAAGAAAAGAAAGAAAAATCAAAACGAAACCAAGAGACACATATCTAGATCATGATCTCAAGGTTCTCAAACCTTCAAGAAGTACCTCAAGTCTTCCCAAATCTTTGCCAGGGAATGGAAATGTATTACCCAATGGTGGTAAGTGTGGGAATGTGAAAAAATGAGAGAAGATAAGCAGAATGGAAAGTGCCTTTTAAAGCATAGAAGTACCATTTCTCAGTCAATAAGGATAATCTGTGATAAAGAGCTCTCCAAAACCACTATCCAGATTGTGTCAAAAGCTAAAAGTAGTCCACAATGATATGCAGTGAAAGTTGGTAGATCTTTGATAGTCACTTGTAGAACTGCTTCTAACTGGGGAAGGAAGCCTAAAATGGACTTGGATACTTCATACACCAGGCCCAACCAGACTTTGCTTCATTGCTATAAGTATAAAAACTATTGTATTGGATAGAGTTGCTACTAGAACATGGTGATTCTTCTACTAAAACTTGGCTGAATAATGTAGGCTGTCTATATGAAGACTTTATGCCTATAGACTATTGAGAACACTAAGCTAAACTGTGGTACTAAATGGAAAAATGGAAAAGGTAACTACTGGATTGATGGGCAATGGTGTAGGGAATGAATGAGAAAGAGAAGTGTGAGTGTAAAAAGTGTAGAATAATGGTGGAGAAAGTGTGATGAAATTAATGTAAAGGCAAAGTGAATGGAAGTGGCAAAACCTAGGAAAACTTTATGATCAATATTGATGCCACCCCAAGAACTAGCTATTCTTTCACTTTGTTTTCTTTGTTTCTTCCCCAAGTCACAAATTCATTTTGACTACTAAAGAGAATCAAAGAAAAAAAAAGAGAGAAAGAGAAGAGAAGCGAAAGAAGTCACTGTAAGAAGAGATGGTGGTGGAGCTAGGCCTCACTTCATGGAGCAGTGAAGAAGAGGCTATAGAAGGCTGGAATCTCTAATGCAATCCATGCTAGAGCTGGGAGTTCCAAGTTGTTGTGGATGCTTGAGCTGGGAATCTGTGCCACTATCTCAAAAGCTGAATTGATGCTGTGATTGAGTGCTCCTGGATGATGAACCAAAGCACTGATGAGAAGTGAAAGATGTCCTGTGTCATCTATAAAAATCTGGAGGTCACACAAAGTGTGTCTCCTTTGAAAGGTATAGCATGCTAGTGCATCGAAAGCACAAAGCTGGAAGAAATGTGGTCCACCTATTGTTCTGAGTAGAAGAGAAGTGCCTAGGTTGTCTCTGAGAGCTGGGAGTCTCTCTAAGCAATCACTGAAGGTGTGAAAAGATCCTGGGACTCTCATGTCCACCACCTTCATCACTATGTAATTGTCAAAGGGATAAACTGCTCTAGGTAACTGCTTCTAACATGATAGATCAAGGCCTGAAGCTGACAATGTCTGAACAGAGGTTGAGCTCCAAATCAGAATTAGAAAAATTCATTGGAACCTTGAAAGTACCACCTTGTGGAATCCTTAGCTTTGTAAGCCTATATGCATGTCCAAAGTCTCTGCTAGTGGATGAAGAATGTCCAAAGAAGTTTCTTGAGAGTCACCATGAAGAGCTAGTGCAAAAAGCATAAGCAAAAAACTAACTTGTAAGGCCCAAAGTTTTCTTTTTAACATATTGTTAGACCTTGGCATTACTATGTTAAGGTTACATTTTTGTACTCCCTATTTGCCTTCACCTTATCTGCCTTGATGGTATGAAATTTGTGTCAAGTATCTATGGTGAAGTACATGGAGCCCTAAAAAGTCATGTAAATCACATATTAATAAACAAAAGAACATATAGTGTTCCTCTAGATCCCACCTAGAGAACCTTAATTGCCTTTTGTCCTTTCAAGTGAAGTTTAGGTGTATAGTTACAATGTTGTATATTATTATTCTCTTATAGATAAGTTAAATTTTTTTGACTAATCTAATTTGCACATTTTATATATATGTACGGCTATGATGCCATATATTAATATTAATGGGATTTTGATAGCTAAACAACTCATAAGTTAGGGTTTTTGAGCTAATTAATATGTGCATTTCTCATGCGGTGGAAATGAGGGGCAACTTTGATTGTCCCTAAGAAATGCTTGGATTTGAGCCATTTGTTTAGATCTAGCTTTTGCATTGTTTAAATTTCACTTTCTTTATAGCTTCTCAATTTCTTCTCTTTTGTTTTTCTTTTTTTTGTTCATCTTTATAACAGAGCAGTAGCCTCTTCCTCTTTTAACTCTAGAGTACTAGTTTATATAGTTGTTTGATGCTATGTGCACAACTGAACAATCAAACTCAATTGATGGTGGCATTCATAGCACATGGTATAATTTTTCTTGCTCTTACTGTCAATCCTCATGTTTGGCCAAAATTCTTCTGTAAAAATCCTAGGGATAATGTGTACCATTAGTTCAATCACTTTATAGTGATTACCACCTATCATTTTTGGGATGATGCTCAACATCTACATGAGTTTCTTATGTATATCTGAGGGATAATATTGTAGTGGTACAATGGTTTGAGTGCAACCATTTGTGCAGATTAGAACATTCTCTTGGACATCTTTAAACGCACATTTGGACATACTGACAATTATAATAATGCTTTTTAACAATTGTATCATCTTTATCAAGGCTCATTTAAGTTAGTGATGCAATTTGGTGTTCAATTCCAAAGCCTTTTACCTTGTATGGAGCTAAATATGTCATAGCAGGTCAAGTTGGGAATGTTATATCAAGATCTTGTGGGATTTATACATGCATTTACCAAAACCACTCTTGATTATGCTCTTTAGCTGATATAACATTATAAAATATCACTTCTTCCATTTATTACTGCACATCCTTTAACTCCACTTCTTGTGAGAGATGATCCTATTTTGATTAAGGTTAACACTATTGTTGCCCGTGTTTAAGGATAAGAAGTTGTGATGTCTATTACTGAGCATATAATGAGATTAGCCACATGTATCGATTGACATTGTTGGCATTTTCCAAATTGGCACCTTTTATTTCTTAGGTGGAGGCTTTGGTGTCAACAATATCTTATTGTTGTTGTTACAATGGATAGTTTTGACATAAATATTCTTTTGGAAAATGAAGAGTCGTGGAAGTAATTCAACCATGCAGTAGTAGTGAAACTCTAGAGAAATGGATCACGGGAGGGGCACAATGCATTTGCTCTCAGGGAAGAACAAGGAATTTAAGCTGTGCATGACACGAGAATGACAAGGTACATTTTCAAGATTTTATCTTTTTTTTCTGGGTAGTTGTCTACTGGTAACCATCAGCGTTACTCCCAAGTAGCAGTGTCGAGCTGAGCAGTAACACGAAGATATGAGGATTCGCATCGTCCACCAGCTGCTGGCTTCACCATCGATTCCAACCAAAGTATGCTGCAATGATGTCTCGACACAGTTTGGTCAAGAAAACGAAAAAGAAAAAAAAAATCTCGTTCCTATCAGGGACTGGGTTGTGTTCGTCCTTCACATGAAGCTGGAAAGCTCCATCCAAGTCACCAAACCAAAGTCACAGTACGTCCAAGTTTTTGGTTTCTTCCTAGTAGTGAGAGAAGTTCTTCTCTCTTGGTTTCACAATGATCCAGCCTTTCAGCTCTTTGGGACACCAAGCTTCAGATTAAATCAGAATTAAGCAAAGAAACCGAGAATTAAACGAACTCTTAAGGAGTTTGACAAGCTTCACAAAATAGTGGTGTCCAAGCTTTGGGTCCTATATTTTCCAAGGACGACTTTCCTCCGCCTCTTACTTCCAACGACAATTGTCCTCAAAATCATCCATGCTGCTTGGCACTAATAATCCCATGTTCCCATGTTTAGATAGATAGAATATCAAGCTTGACAATAACGCACAGCAGAATAACAAAAAATGCACAAACCAAATGCCCGATCTATACAATCTAGGAGACGAAGAATGAGGCGCCTTGGTAGCTGGAAGAAGGCAGCCCAGAAGGCAATGGAGAAACCAATGGTAGCTCCAATTGCAAAAGGGATGTCCACCAGGCTACCTTGTTGTTGAGAATGAATACCTTGTTGTTGCTGAGGAACAGGTCCAAGAGATGGACAAGGTCGGTGGAGAAGAGGAGGACCGCAGAGGCCGGGGTTGCCATCAAACCAGTCTGGTCGGAATGTGGAGAATTGGGTACCCTCGGGTATCCGACCTTGGAGGTTGTTGTTGGAAACACTAAAGGCATTTAGAAAGGTCAGGCTTGAGAGGCTGGATGGGATGGTGCCAGAGAGATTGTTGTTGTAGAGCCCAAGTAACTCGAGATTGGTCAAGTTGGAGAGCGATGGTGGAATGGGTCCGGAGAGGCTGTTGTTGCCCAGGTCCAGGACCTGCAAGCCTTGGAGATTGCCGAGCTCGTGTGGAATGCCGCCCGTGAGCTTGTTCAACCGCAGTGATAACCCGGTGCGCAAACCATTTGCACTCTTGCTGCTGATTGAATTAGACGGCAGAAAAAAGGCCATTGAAGGACAAATTCTGCAGTTGCCAATGCTCTTCGGCCGGAACTCTCTGGAGCTCAGTGCTGAGATATACCCGAGCTGTGGTGGGATAGTTCCATTGAAGTTGTTGTCTTCTAAATCGAGGTAGAAGAGATTGGTACAATTGCCGAGCCAAGATGGAATCTTTCCTTCCAGCATGTTCCAGCCAAGATGTACAAGTCTAATGGAGCCGCACAAGGATGAACTCCAAGTGTCTGGAATTCCTCCAGTGAAAGAGTTGTGGTTGAGGTTGAGATACCCCAGCCTCGGACTCATGGTGTTTGGGAGTCGCCCAGACATCCGGTTGCGATTCAAATGCAGGAGTACAAGACTCGTTGACATGTTTGTGTCTGAAAAGCTGCCACTGTCAAGTTTGTTGTGTCCTGCGTCGAATACCTCGAGCATGGTGCAGTTTGAGAGTATCGAAGGAGGGATTTCTCCAGACAGGAGATTGAGTGAGAGGGCGAGGCTACGGAGAGAGGTTAGAGCTGAGAGCTCCTGGGGGATATTTCCCGTGAACTGGTTAATGTCTAGGAGGAGATCCTGGAGGCTTGTGCAGTTGGCCAAGGACTGAGGTATAGAGCCACTCAGCCTGTTGTCGATGAGGTCGACAAAAGATAGAGCGGGAGAGTTGTTACATAAATGGTCTGGCAACCTGCCTTGAAAGTTGTTCTGTTGGAGACTGAGGCGTATGAGAGAAGGCAAACGCAGTGAATCATCCAGGCCTCCGGTGAGGAAGTTATTTGCGAGATCAAGCACCTGGAGTTTAGTGCAGTTGGAGAGGGACGATGGGATTCCCCCGCGCAGGTCCAAGTTGAACGCGAGTGATAGCTTCTCTAGCTGGGTTAGCATGCCGAGCGTAGGTGGGATGTATCCGGTGAGACTGTTGCCATTAAGGTTGAGGATTCGCAGAGCTGGGAGTCTCTCCCCAAGGTCGTGAGGGATGGGGCCGTGGAAGGAGTTCAAGGTGAGGACGAGCTCGTGGAGAGTGCTGCTGTGTATTTCTCTCAGAAGTGGGCCTGTGAGATTATTGTATGGCAGCCACAGCGACTCAAGGCTTGGGCTGGAGCACCATTTGGAAGAGAATGGAGTTCCAGTCAAGTTGTTGGATGTGAGGTTGAGGACGCGGAGTGACGTGAGGCTGCACCAGAAGGGATTGCTGCTTAGCTCACCTTTGAGGCCAAAGTTTGCAAGTTGGAGCTCAATGGCGGCCGTCCCGTTCCATTCCACACCCTTCCATGAAGCCAAGGGAGTGGTCCGGTTCCAGCTACGCAGAGAATCGGGCTTGTCCAGGCCCATCTTGAAAGACAACAGCACTCCCGCATCGTCACCAATAGCTGGAACAATGCCCAGGCCCGTGGAACATGCCGCAAGAAGCACTAGAGGGAGGAAGATGAGGATGACTCGCATTATAGCTAGAAATGTTGTTTTCAGTATATTGGAAAGATCCAGCTCCTTGAACCTTCAAACTCCTGGCAAAGTCATTGCTTTTTGTTGTCGCCAATTTGACTGACTTACTTTTGAGGTCAAGTATTGGTCGTGGGTGGCAGGGCAGGAAATAATTTTCTTTCAAGCAGTATATTGGAAAGATCCAGCTCCTTGAACCTTCAAACACCTGGCAAAGTCATTGCTTTTTGTTGTTGCCAATTTGACTGACTTACTTTTGAGGTCAAGTATTGGTCGTTGGTGGCAGGGCTGTTGATTTTTTACATGAACAGGAAATAATTTTCTTTCAAGTTCTTGCAGAATTATTGCGGATCAAACGAAGAACGCTCTGCTTAATCCAAATAAACACTACAGTATTGTGGAGATCAATTGCTTCTTCCAAGCATTTCTATGGCACTGGATCTGGACAGCAGCACTCCGCGTCTGGAACAGCCGTGCAACATGCTGAAAGAACTCCTCGAAGCAAACTTGACTTACTTTCCGTCAAAGTCCAACCTTTTGACCTTGGCGTTGCCCTGACGACACAGTAATTACACAGTTTATGGCCATAAACAATAAAAGATTAGGGCAACGGATCTCAAAAGGCAAAACTTTGACAGTCTTAAGTAGGTGGAGTTTGTAGCTTCGAGGAGTTGGATTTATACCAGCTATGCTCATCCTCCTCCCTCATAACTCTTCCCGCGGACAGGAATTTGAGCAGCTCGAAGGGTGGCTGCTTCTACAAAACCAAGCTCCCCAAGTTATGTTGGAGGGAGAATGCTGGTAGTTCTTGGGAATCTCACTTCTTTGTCTTAGAACAGTGGTGTAGCGTTCTGTGCTGGGCAAAACGTGCATTCTGGTGCTCGCGCTTTTAGTGTTTTGTAAAAGCCTCGCCCAGGAAATAATCCGATGGCTCCCAGCCCCCCAAATTCAAATCATCCAGGACGGCACCACCATCAAGGCCTCTCAGGATATTCCAAAGATTAGAATCTTCACATGATGGCGATGTTGTACTTGTTGTTTGCGCCAAGACATGCGCTCCAAGCGAATTAGTTGGCATTCTCTTTTGTTGGCATGCCAACCTGATCGGTAGCCAATAAATATTTTCACTAGCTTTTTTCACCTGTGTTTTGGTACTTTTGATTCTTTTTTCTTATAAGTTTCCAACCCAAAGTCAAAACTAGAGGCAGAAGATGGCCAGTTATGAGTGAATGAAAAGATAAAAAAGGGGAGAGAAAGGAGAAAGAAGGGGAGAGATGCATGCGAGGAGTGGCAGAAGCCAATCAAGACATTGCCCAATATTTTGACAAAGCAAAACTTTATGATGCAGCAAGCGAATGTGAAACCCCACCCACAATTTGTGCGAGGTAAATCAAAAGAGCCAAGGAGAAAAGTGAAAAGATCCTTTTCTTTCTTCCTCTCTTCCTCTCTCTTGTCTTTCTCAGGTGTTGCTTTCATGTCCCATTTCTGACAGATTCAGCAACAACATTGCATGAATCTTGGAAATGCTCAACAAATGTTAAGTATTCAACATGTTAAACATGTGATTTCATGCGAGTGTGAAGCTTTGGCCAAATCAACATGAACCCAACAATTTTAATGTAGGTCTCCTCATAAGATTCTCTATTTGCTAACTCAATGAAGCTATGGTCATTTTGTTTTACTTGTCCTTTAGAATTGTCGCAAGGACCTTTAGTGTTGTATACTCTTGATCCGGATGTTCTTGTATGACTGGAAGCTCAAGACCTTCCGCCAGTGCCCCTTTGAATGCTATGAAACAAATAATTATCATAGTTTGACCTCAAATTTTGCGCTTCGAGAAAGCAATTCTAAACAAATACATTTTAGTTAGTCATGCAGCTGATTCTATATGTGTGTAGCCTTTGAAGTTTATTCTTTGGATCAAAATAGGTTTCCAAAGTTCCTCATACTTATATTTTTCTTCATATGGATGATCATCCAGTTCCTCATCAGAGGCAATCATGATTCTTCTAGAATGTCATCCATTTTCACACTGGTCAGGGCTATGGATGCATTGCAATAATGAAAAAATTGGAGCTCTGGCCAAAAATGTTATCCATCTTCTATCAAATTGGCTGATAAGCTGTAACATCTTGAAAAATACAGCAAATAAATATACTTGGAGGAACTTGGAAGAAGCAATCAAAATTGAATCGTATAAACCATGGATATAGTACCTAGAAGAAGAAATAAATCTTGCAAATAGCAAGCAAATGTTTGTTTCAAACACGACAGCAAGAAAGTTTTCTGGCAGTCAAAAGCAAATTCTTTACTATTTATCATGGGATACCAATTCCTTCTTGCAAAAGCTGCCACCCATGACCAAAACTTGACCTCAAAAGTATGTCAGTCAAAATCACAACAACAAAAAGTTATGGAGAGTACTGAAGAAAATATTTCTAGCCTACGAGTCATCCTCATCTTCCTCCTTTTAGTGCTTCTTGCCGCATGCTCCACATGTCTGGGTGTTGTTCCAGACATTGGTGACAATGCGGGAGTGTTGCTGTCTTTTAAGATGGGCTTGCACAAGCCCAATTCTCTACACAGCTAGGACCAAACCACTCCCTTGGCTTCATGGAAGGGCATGAAATGGAGTGGGACGGCTGCCACTAAGCTCCAACTTGCAAGCTTCGGCCTCAAAGGTGAGCTAAGCAGCAATCCCTTCTGATGTAACCTCAAATCACTCTACATCTTCAACCTCACTTCCAACAGCTTGACTGGAACTCCATTTTCTCCAAATGGTGCTCCAGTTGAAATGGAGATTTCTTTCCTGCCACCATCAAGGCCTCTCAGGATATTGATGCAATTTGATTTCTAGAGGATGCTCAAAGATTGAGCTTGTAGAAAGATAATGTGTACAAGCTTAAGTGGATTTCTAGTATTAACAAGGAATTCAATTGCTTTGGAAATAGCTGCGAGGACAAGTTGGAAATTTCATGGAGTAGGTGTCAATCTTTCAATCTACTATCTAATTATTTGTTTTGCATTTCTCTCTCTCCCAACTTTTTAGTGCCTTTTCCATGTCCTTAGATTTCTAATATTTCTTCCTCATTTGTAATATTTCTTTTTTCAAACATGTCAATCATTTCTTCTTCTTTAATGTTCAAAGAAGAATTGCTTCTCACTTCTTATTAACTTGTAAATAACTTATAAATTGCTAATTAAAGTTAAGTTAACTTGTTTATTAACTTGTTGAGAAGCAATTTATGCTAGTTATTAATAATTTGTTTGAACTAGTATAGCAACAAGTTGTATTAACTAATTATCTTCATTATCTTCTTTAATGTTAATGTTAAGAATTCAAAATAATTTTTTTTTCCTCGTTGAAAGGGCCCTACTTATTTAAGGTGATACTTGATTTAGGAATCAAGTAGGGCCCTTAAAATAACCGACTTACAAGTAGGGCCCTTTCAGATAGAGAATTTGAATTTATAATTACATAATAATGGTAGGATAAAGGCACAGTTATTGATAATTTTTATCTGCAATAAATCTTTTCTAAAATTAAGCTAAACGAATCATACGATAAGTCAACGAATCAGTTATGTTGTCAAAGACCATATACATTGCATTAGTCAAATCTAGCTAGCAATTTTGTGGTAAAATGGACTGTATAGGAGAACGTCAGAAAAAAGAAAAAAGTCTTATGAAATTTGAGTTTGGGGAAAAAAGTTGTGAAGAGCACAGCCTCAACAGTAAGGAGGTCAGTAAATTTGGATATTTTTATTCCAAAAACTTAGTTAATTCTTTAAGAAAATATTGAATGTGCCAGGAGACATGGTTTTTAGCTTGGCTAGGCCCTTGAACAAGCACAGAGCAGCGCTAGTGCCCTAGCAAAGACATTGCAAACCTCTTGAAAAACACTCTAGGCCACAGCAAAGCATTCAAGATGGCTGGCAGGAATGTCAAAAGCACCTCTTTGCTACAAAAAGAAACCTTGCTTCTCCTCCATTGTCATCTTCCTTCTGAAAGTAAAGAGGCAAGAACAACTAAAATCAATTGTTTTGTCTCACACATCTGGAGGGAAAATCCCTTCCAAAATCTCTTGCTTTTGGCAAGGAAAGCTCTAGTAGCAGCAACATCATCACCACCACCACCCAAGAAACACCATTGACCTAGCCTCCATAAGCTCATGTTTTCAGCCTTTCGGCTCAAATCCATCTCCAAAACATTCCACTTGAAAGGCATGTTGATGATTAGTTTTCCAAAGGTGCAAATCCTCCCTGCATAAATGCAGTGCAAGCCATGGTCCTCACAGTTTTTCTCCTTCTCCTGGCTCTCTAGTTCCACCATAGACCAAGCCATTAACTACAAATCCATGCTATATGTTTGGTCAATTGCTTGGTGATAGAGTTTCCACCCCTTTTTAATAGAAAATTAAACATTATTTGATAACTTATATAGCTTTGCCTAAAAAATGTTGTATTTGTTTATGATATTGTATTTCTAGGGTTAAAAACTGAATTGCCTTTTTTCATTTTTTATTTATACTGTAAATTATTAGAATAATGACATTTTAAGTATAAACTATTTCCATTTTAAATAGTGTATTAGTTAAAATTTTAATCCAAAATAATATCACTTCTGATAGAATGCAAGTTAAAAGGCTAAAGAATTTATAATAATTATATATTAAAAGAAAAACTTATAAATTTTTCTTGGTAGGGGACTTTGGCTAAGGCCACTAATCTTGGGAGCTGGTGTCTGGCTGCTTGAGTGCTGCAACTGTCTGATGCCAGGAGCCCCAAGACTTTTGAGGTGCTTGATCAATAAAATTGATTCAAACTAAAAAATTCTTATGCTGAATCTTTCAGAAGTGGGACATAAACATAAGAGAGAAGAGAAAGAGAGAGGAAGAGAGATCTTGTCACTTTTCTCTTTGGCTTTTTATCTCCTTACAAAAGTTGTGTAGCACAAATTTTTGCTTTGTCAGAATATTGGATAATGTCTACTGTCTTGGTTGGCTTCTACCACTCCTCACATGCATGGCTCCCTCTTTTTCCCCTCTTCCTTATTTTCATTCACTAAAAATTTGCCTC